ACAGGTCCCTTGGCTCTCAGCCTTCCACCTGGACTAGCCGTCGAGCTGGGTCGCTGCAGGTGAGGCGATGCCTTACCTTGAGAATGCTACAGCCGTGCCGTGTCCTGGGGCGGCCTCCCAAGAGCACCTCCTCCTGATCCACAGCATCTGGGGTCCGCCAAGGGGCTCTTGCAGATACGACTTCACGAAGGGCCTGGAGAAGGCGAGGTCGTCAGGTTGTCTGGATGGGCCACCAATGTGTGAGCACCCACGGGAGTGAGGCCGAGCTACTGAAGCAGGAGCTGTGACAGCCAAAGCAGCGATGGGAGTGACAGGGGCACAAGCCAGGAGTGCCCGCCGCCTCTGGGAATTGGAAGCAGCAAGGAACAGGTTGGCTTCTGGAGACTTTGCCCTCTGAGCCGTGTGCTGTACTCCTGGCCTGCAGAACTGCAAGAGAAGAACTTGGTGCTGTTCTGAGTCACTAGGTTGGTCATGATTTGTCGTCGAAGTCATTGATCTGCCCACTCCCATGAGGGGAGACGCAGAGATCAGTGGGCCGGAGGACTTGGCCCCTTTGATCGCAGGGACTCCGTGGCCCAAAGTCTGATACGAAAAATCAGCGTTGTGAAATGCAAGCCGGTTGGCGATTCCACAGCAGGAACGAGGGAGAATTCCACGTGGAAATCGCAGGTCCTCACAAGGGAGTCATCACCTGAACAGGGCCCCTCATCCAGGGGAGGCGGGAGAGGGCCCAGCAAAGGCCTCCTGGCAGGTGAATGGGCCCAGCAGAGGAACCAGCCAGAGCTCTGTGTGGTGTCTCTGAGAACGTGGTAGCTTTACTCGTAGAGACTGACCTCCTCTCGTTCTCCAGGTCTGATTCCCTGAGTGGCAGCAGGATGCTTGAGCTTGCCAATAACGAGAGCTCGTTGTCCTCTGACTGTCGGCGGTCTCTTTTGGATAGAGATACGGTCAAGTCTGAGGTCCTTACCGGTGTGGGTTCTGCCACCTCTAGCGGCCTCCCAAGGTGGAGTGCGAGTGTGGGAGGCAGGCACACGCTCTGTGTGCGAATGGGTTTACTATCTGCTTGCTCTCTCGTTTCCACTAAAGGCTGTGTCACTGGTCTTGGGAGGTCAGTTTCCAATGTGCTTTTTTGCTGGTACAATCCAGATTTTTATGATGCTCCCACAAAACCCAAAATAGCCCTGAGAAGTGGGAACAAGCACCCTAAGGCTGGCAAAGGGATGCTGGGGCGATGAGCCTGGAGAGGCAGGGGAGATGGGTGCTTGGGCCAAGGTGTCGTGGTGGGCTGCTCCCTAAAAGTCATAGCACAGGCTCATTGGCTCAGATGGACCTGTCAGGAGATGGGGGTCTTAGGAATGCCTCGAGGAGATTGCCCCTGTGCCTGAAGTGTTCCTGTGGGGTAATTTTGCTATGATCATTGTCTCGAGCCTGCCTTGGTTCCTGCCTAATTCTCAGCCTTCTGGCTGTCCTGTGCCCTCTTGCTGTTCTTACTGTTCAAGTTAGGCGGAGTGAGTTTTTTTTTTTTAATTACTTAATTTATTTTTTTAAGAAATACAAATTTCATAAGTACAACTTTAGGAATATAGTGATTCTTCCCACCATATCCACCCTCCCACCCTTCCTCCTCCTCCCTCTCCCCTTCCCACTCCCATTTCCCATTAAGATTCATTTTCAATTAACTTTGTACACAGAAGACCAACTCTATACTAATATTTTAACAATTTACACACACACGCAAACACACACACAACAAACTGAGAACTAGTTTTACAGTTAACTCTCATAATAGAACTCATTGAGGACAGAGGTCCTGCATGGGGAGTTAGTGCACAGTGACTCCTGTTGTTAATTTAACAGTTAACACTCTTATGTGTGACATCAGTGATCACCTGAGGCTCTTGACATGAGCTGCCTAGGCTATGGAAGCCTTTTGAATCCACAGATTCCATCAGTATTTAGAAAAGGCCGTAAGCAAAGTGGATGTTCTCTCCTCCCTTTAGAGAAAAATAACCTCCTTCTTCGATGGCCACTTCTTTCCACTGGGGTTCAGAGCTTTTGAATTTAGCAACCAAGGGCCATGGTGGCCAGGAGCTCCCTCAGTAAATCTAGGGAGAATGAATTTGTTGGGAGACATTCTCTGTGGGCCTTTGGAGTTCCTGCATGGCTTGCAAACAGTGGCCCTGACTCATCAAGGAAGCTCGAATATTAAGCACACTTGGAAGGCGGGGGGGGGGGGGGGGGGGGTGTCTCCTTCTGGAATAAACAGCACGTGTGCTTACGCCCATTATCAAAGATTGAGTCCCCTAAGCTCAGGGTTCCTCTTACAAGGGAAACCGTTGCAACTGCAGGCATCTGTTGCTACTTATTTCTATCACGCTCTTGGGACACTGAGGCAAGGGAGCTGATGCAGATACGCCGCCGCCGCCGCCGCCGCCACTGCATCCTGAGTAATAAAGTCCTTTGTCCCTGACCCAGGAGTGTCATGTTGGCAGCACCCGTTAAACTATAGCAGGCTAACGTGGCAGCTTGTGGGTGGCTCTCCACGAGGAGATTGTTGAGGGCTGGGTCTGCTCGCTTTGGTTTTTGTCCCTCCAGCTTGTCCACCAAACAGGCAGATGCCTGAAGGGGGACCCCGTTGCCTTGCACCCTGGGGCCTGCATGGGAGACCAGTTGGTTTTTCCTTATCAGCCATGGGTCCTGTTGAGGCCAGCAACTGTATCCCATCGGGCTGAGGACTCTCTGGGGCTTGGCTTGGGTTCACCGCCCATCTGCTCACTCCTGTTTCTCTTGTCTCTCCCCGCTTGAAGGCCAGGAGAGGAAAGGATTCTCCCAAAGCCCTGTGTCTTCGCTCCCTCCCCACCCACACATCTGCAGGAGCCACCCTTGCCTCTTGCCCAAGCCCTGCTTCTGCTGCACTTGGCACCATTCATTCCCTTCTGCTCCTTGGAGTTAAGTCAATGAAGTGGAAGAGGGCAGAGTGCGGGATGGAGGAGGATAGTGACAGGGAAGCAGCAGGTGCAGAGAAACACCACGCTCTGAGCGCTTTCTGCAGGCCGGACAAAGGCAGACACTGAACTGCTGCCTGGCATTTACAGATGAAGAGGCTGAGGGCAGGACAGCTCCTCTATGTCTGTGCTAGGGCGGGGAGTTAAGCCCAGCCCACCAGGGGCAAAGCCATCTATTTCCATTTAGCACTTTTCCAGGAGGCAGAAGGGAAGAGCGGAATGCTTTGGAGACTTTTCCTGGATAGAACCCTATTATGGGCAGGTGTCGTTCTAGCCCCACCCCCTGTGACCCAACAGAGGTGCTAGAGCCCAGAACAAGTTCTCTGGGTTCCCAGCAACCCCCCGACATCCCAGGCTCTGGTCAGAGGAAGCAGGCAGCACAGCCTTGGGGCGCATGGATAAGCACAGTGAGTGGGGCTGGGGGCAGGTTGGGGCCAGCAGGTGGAGCCCCAGACTCCAGCTTGGATGAATCGGCCCATCACCTTAGCAAGCCCAGCGCCGACACCACGCCTTTTCTGATCACCTGCCCATGGAGCGACAAGCCCTCTCCTTCCTCCCCTCTGAGTACTCTTGACATCTGCTCCCTCCTCTGCACCTGCTCCTGTTCTGGCTTGCCTTCTCTGGTCTGGACCAATGTGCAGGCTCCTAAGGGGGTCTGTCCTGCCAGGCAGCCTCCGGAAGCGCGGCTTCCCCAGCCCCTGTCTGCTGGGTATGAGAGCGCACCTTTCTTTTTATTTTATTTTTTAAAATATATTTATTTATTTGAAAGGCAATGGTAGAGAGAGAAAGAGAGGGAGAGACAGAGGTCTTCCATCCGCTGATTCACTCCCGAAATGGCCACAGGAGCTGGATCTGAAGTGGAGCAGCCGGGACTGGAACCGGTGCCCATATGGGATGCCGGCATTGCAGACAGCGGCTGAACCCACTGCACCACAGCGCTGGCCCCGAGAGCACACCTTTCTCCACCAGGAGGCTCCTCAGCGAAAGTGCAGCGGGGCCTGGTACTCCACCTTTAACAGGACCAGGAAGGGGCTGAATCTGTGAGACAACTTCTCTTTGAAGATTTCCAACATTCAGGGTCAAACTCCTAGGCCCCTGCAGGACCCAGTCAGCTACCTACCCCAGGAGGGATTAAGGGGCACAGTGCAGAAAGAGTTCAGCACAGCGATTGGCTCCTGCTGGTGCTAGAAGCGCAGGGCAGTCCTACCACTCTCCCTGGCTCCCAGCCCCTAAACTGAAGGACAGGGATCCGTGAACATTTTTCATGACCTTCCAGGGCAATGGCCACGCTCTGCGCCCCCCAGCCCTCATCCCTTTCTCCTGGCCACTCTGCTGTGCAGCCTGGGCGGGCGCAGGCAGCAAAGGCGGGGGGTGCGAGTGTGTGGCAGGCTCCCAGGGCAGGCCAGCTGCGTTCTTGCATCAGTCCTGGAACTTCTTGCCTGCTGGGGCTATGGCTGGGAGTCGGGAGTCTGGACCTGCTCAGAGACACAGGCAAGAGGGGGCAGGACCAGTGGCTGAAACCCACTGGTGATTGGGGACAGGCCTGGCAGGAACAGAGGTTCACCTCCAAGGCAGCCTTTGCTAACTGGCCTTTTTCTGTGCAGTCTGCCCATGAAGGATCCTTTTGCTTTTTTAAAAAGGTTTATTTATTTACTTATTTGACAAAGTGACACAGAGGGGCTGGCACTGTGGTATAGAAGGTTAAGCCTCCACCTTCAGTGCCGGCATCCCATCTAGGTGCTGGTTCAAGTCCCAGCTGCTCCACTTCTGACCCAGCTCCCTGCTAATGGCCTGGGAAAGCAGTGGAGGATGGCCTGAGTGCTTGGTCCCCTGCACCCACATGGGAGACCTAGAGGAAGCTCTGGGCTCCTGGCTTCAGCCAGCTGTTGTGGCCATTTGGGGAGTGAACCAGTGGATAGAAGATCAATCTCTCTCTCTCTCTCTGCCTTTCAAATAAATAAATATTAAAAAAAAAAAAAGTGACACAGAGGGAGAGACACAGATCTTCCATCAGCTGGTTCACTCCCCAAATGGCAGTGATGGTTGGGACTGAAGCCAGGAACCAGGAGCTCCATCCTGGTCCCCCCCATGCATGACGGGACCCACGTGCTTGGCCCATCTCCAGCTGTTTTCTCAAGTGCATTAGCCGGGAGCTGGAAGGGCATCAGAGCAGCCAGGGCTCGAGCCAGGCACTGCGATACAGATTGACCTGCTGGGCCTCCACACCTGCCCCAAGGCCTCTCCTTTCTAAACCTACAGACAGGTGCCTAGTGTGCACTAACCCTGCTATAGGTGGTGCCCCACAGGTGATGCGGGGCTATCTTAGAGCAGGACCCATTTTGAGGAAGGAAACCCAATTTAGAAAACGAAATTCAGACCACCGCCTCTCAATGCAATGAGTGCAATAAACGTTGATTGACAGCCTGCGCAGAGATCAGCTGCCCACCAGAGAGCCAAGGAGAAGCAAAGAGGGAGGGACCCAGGGCACCATCCTCACGGCTAGTGTCTGTTGATTGCTTCTCGCATCCAAGCCTCACGTGACGTGACGCCATGTCACGTCAGCCTCACACCAGCCTGCAGACGAGGGAAGGGAACTTGGCTGACCTGAGATGGCGTGCCCGGGAACCCCGGCGAGGACATGCAGGAGCCGCGCAGCGCGAGTGGGCAGGCAGGACAACCCTGCACGCGGCTGCCCGCCCCGGCAGTGCCGCTGGCCCGGGCCATCGCGCCCTCGCCATCCTTCAGTCACCTGCCTTGTCGGGGGTTAGGGAGTGAGCAACCGTCAGGGTCGCCAGGCCCTTCACCTGGGACAGCGGGGTGTGTCCTGACCTCCCCGCCCGCAGGCGCGAAGACCCCCTTGTGGAAGAAGGAACTGGAAAAGCCCCGGGCCACGGAGGCAGAGCAGGAGGAAGCTCAGGAGGGCTCGGAGGAGGACGACGAGGAGAGGCCGCCGGAGGAGCGCGCGACTGAGGGCTCGGAGCAGCCGCGGGAGGCGCAGGAGGCCGAGGGCCACGAGCCCCGCTCGGTGTCCTACAGTCCGCTGCGCCAGGAGTCCAGCACCCAGCAGGTGGCGCTGCTGCGGCGCGCCGACGGCGGCTTCTGGGGCTGGCTCAGCCCCTTCGGGCTGCTCGGCGGTTTGGTGGCTCCAGCCGACAGGTGAGGACGCGCCCCGGAGCCGGGTGCGGGGCACGGCGCGGGGCACTGAGCATTCCGGTCCCCGCCCGCAGGAAGCGGAGTCTGCCGGAGGAGCCGTGCGTGCTGGAGACGCGGCGGCGACCTCCGCGCCCCGGGTGCTGTGCGCGCTGCGAGATCCTTTTCTGCAAGAAATGCAGGATCCTGCACAGCCCCTCGGCCTACGTGGCGCACTGCGTTCTGGAACACACGGATCTGGGTAAGGCGGGTGCCGCCGGGGCGGGAGAAATGCCCCGCCTCAGAACCGCCCGCGGGGCGCCCCCTCGGGCGAAGAGGCCCACCGTTGAGGCGGGGGTTTCCATTGGGCACCTGGCGCCCGCCAGGGCAGAGCCCAGCCTTACCTAGAGCCCGGCTACTCCAACAGCGCCCGCGCCCACCTGACGCGCGCCCCAGACACAGCCTCACGTGCATTGCAGGTCCTTCCGGCCAGGCGGACAGAGGCATCGCCTAAGGGAAACAACCTCTGGGCTTCCCCTTTCCCTCAAATCATTCAATAAAGCCTCTAATCACAGTGTCAGCGCCTGGAGGCGCGGCGATGAAGATGGGACCTTCCTCTGGGGTTCAAGCCAGAGGGACTGGGGTGGGCGGGCAGCCGCCCCCTCGCCTCCCAGCGCAGGGCAGTACCAGGCGCTGGCACCTAAGGGCAGTCCAGGTTGTGCAGAGAAGGAAGGCAGAAGACTAAGAATGCCCCTGGGAGACTGGGGGCTGGACCCTGCAGCCCTTGTCAGCTCCCCTGAGAGCTTTCTTTGCTGAGGTCAGCGTGCAGGTGTGGGGGGCGGGGTGCCTGGAGGAGCAGACGGCTGGGAGGCTGAGAGCCAGTTCCCTCTCCAGGCCGCCCAGCAATTCTTGGCCAGACAGCAGGAGCTTCAGGAATGCTGCGTGTGTGGCCCGGAGAATGGGGCCATTGTGACCAGGAGGCCTCCCCTAATCTGCAAATCCCCCGTGCCTGCAGCAGTGCAGACCCCGGGAGGGGACCCCTGACCTGGCCTGGGAGGTGGGACGGTGCGGGGCAAGGACACTTTGCCTTTTGAGGCGAGGTGGGCCCTGTCCCCCATCACAACTGCACACACACAGCTGGCTGGCCGCACTCCCTGCGTCTGCACACACTCACTGTCACTGGAAGCCGCGGACAATCTGTTCCCAGGACCGCTCTTTCCTGCCTGCAGGGCCACCAGCTGGGGGCGTCTCTTTATTCCAGCCCCAGACAAAAAGCCAGAGGCTGCATCAGCCTCCCTCGGGCTCCGTGACTCCTGGGCCCCATGCGTCAGCCCCAGGGGCCTCTGAGGTTGGAGACCCTTGTCCTTCGACCTCCCGGCTCCCTGGAGGTGAGGCCTCTGACGAAATGAGACACACAGTTTCCAAAGAACAGAGCCAGGAGGCCCCGAGAGAAGGGGACAGTCTTGCAAAACAGCCTCCAACTCTCAGCCGCGTTTCCATCCTCCACGGCTGGACCTCGGTGCTGCTGCCTCGCAGATGGAGCTGTGCGGTGGGAACACGACAGTGGCCCACTCTCCAGGGAACAAATGCAAACCTCCACCTGGGCTTTCCCCGTACAGGTCCTGCCCCTGGGCAGGGAAAATGAATGGGCCCTGAGGGCACCAAGAGTTCATGGGGGCGGTGCCTTCAGAACAGGGTGCCCCCCGAGTTGGCGTGCCAGCAACCCATCCAGGGCAGCTCAGTGGCCCAGCGGCCCGAGGTGGTGACCCGCAGTTTGGCCTGGTCCAGGCTCCAGTAGCGGTCGTCTCTGAAGAAGATGATGGAGCCGTCGGGCCTCGGCAGGGCACCGCTGACCTCCTCGGGGACCCCGCCCCAGTCCTGCAGGCCGCGGGGGTAGTAGGGCTCCATCTGCAGCCCCCCTGGGGCCAGCACGTAGTAGCGGGCGCCCTTGAAGAGCACAAGGCGGCGCAGAGGAGGGAAGAAGAGGGCCGCGTCGGGGTGGCGGGGCAGGCCCCCTGCCCGGCACAGCTGTGCGGAACCCCACACCGGCCTGGGGCCCCGGAATCTCCAGCACCGACTCCCTGTGGGGCATCAGGAGAGGGGCGTGAGTCCTCCACCCACCTCTGCTACCTTAAGTTGGAGGCCAAGGAGAGGGCAGTAGGGGAAAGGCTGTCATGGCCTGCACTTCCAACAGGTGTCAGCAGAGGGCAGGCAGCGCTGAAGGGACCTATCCATCCCCAGGGACAGCCAGGGCCCTCTTCCTGCTCGAGGAATGAAAAACCAGGAGGGGCGGCTCGCTGTCTCCACTACCGTTACCCCGATCAATGTTTCAGGGCTGGGGTGGTTTGCTCCTGGCTGCGCCCCCCACACCGCCAGCTATGTCCCTCATATAAGCACCCGTCTTGGTTGAATGAATACAATTTACTAAGGTATTACCAAGCATCCAATACACTGCGCGCTCTTCAGGCACTCTCCTTTTTAATCCTCTTTCCCCAAGCCTGAAGCATTTTTCCCCCCTGTTTGAGAAGTGCAAGCTCCAAAAGCTGTCCTCCTTTGACCTTGGGCAGGGCACCTCCCCCTTGGTGTTCTCAGCTGCCCCAGGGTTGGTACCTTTGAAGAAATAGAAGTCTCCATCCTCCAGCGACACCGCAGCAGCCTCGATGTCGGGGGGCAGCCCGGCCCACCTGTCCCGGAGTGGGCGGGGCTCTGAGACATTGCCGTCTGCTGCCACCTCCCAGAAGTGGCTCCCTTTAAAAACGTACAGCTGCTGTTGCCCGTCTGCCCGGAGACAAGAGAGAGTCGGGGACCGACCAGCAGCCTCCTGGGGTCTTCCCAGGCAAGGAGCTGTCCTACCCCAGGCTACCCGAGCTGACAAGCAGAGCAGGTGGTGGGCACAGGGTGGGAGGGAACACGTGCCGGAGGGAGCCCTGCTTTCCCACAAAACACTTGGGCTTGGGATTTCTGAATCTAGTAAACACACACACCCTGTGCTCCAGCTCTGGAGAGCCCTGGACGAGCTGGGGAGGAGGGTGGAAAGAAGCAAGGCACGGGTAGGACCATCTCACCTACAGTGATGGCATCGAAGGAAGAGTGGCAGTAAATTGGACTCGGGGCTTCCGGGCGCCTGCGCTGGGAACTGTGGGGGTCCCAGGCTTCAAAGTCCGTGAACACTTTCCCAGGGAGCTGGGTGGCCACTGAGCGCCCCAGGGGCTTGCCTTTATGGGGGCAGAGGGAAGAGGAAGAGAACACAGGTGGAGGTGTGTTGAGGGCTCAGGACCTCCCTGAGGGTCCCTTTCACGATGACCTAATCCAGGGGCAGGGCAGGAGAGCTGTCCTTAAACCCAGGAATCTCCAACCTGGACAGAGGAAGCCAGCAAGGGTTAGGAAGTAGGAAGGGCAGAGGGTCTGCCTCCTCCCTGAGTCCTGAGCAGCACAGGTGGCCCGAGGGGGGCATTCCGGGCCCCCAGCAATTACGGTAATCCCATCACCAGCCCTCACTCCGGAGAGAAGTGAGGCAGAGCTCAAACAAGTTTAGGCTCGGCCCCATCTCCAGAGTTCCAGTCCGCAGCTGCGCAGTGGAGGGACCTCCTCCGAGCCCCACTCTCCTGGCCTGCCCACAAAGGTGCCCAGTGGCTAGGTTAGGTGGCCGGCCCGAGGCAGATGCTCAGGGCACAGCTGCTGTTGCTGTTGCATTGTGTGGGGTTCGCAGGCTACAAGGCGTGTTCCGACCCACTGGCACAACAGCCCCGCAAGGTAAGCAGGGTTCCAGTGCTTTACCCAAGAGCAACTGCTAGTTTGTGCTGGGAGGGAACTTGAACCCTCGTGGCTCTGCGGCTGGCTCTCTGAGGGAGACAGCAAGGGGCTGAGGCAGGGCCCGGGCCAGTAGCCCCGGCTGATGCACCCGGCCTGGCCTGCTCCCAGTGGACTGGGGGCGGGGCGGGGGAGTGGGCAGCAGCGCCGTGCGGAAAGATTGGGAGAGAAAAGTGGGCTGGGGGAAGGAGTGAGGGCTTTGAGGGCTGAGATGGGGGGAGAGGTGGGACCCTCTGGGTCTGGGAGGGTGTGACGTGAAGAGGGGCTGAGGAGGCGGGGCTTAGGCAGGAATTCAAGGTGGGAATGCGAGGGGGTGGGGCTGTGCGCAGGCGTCGGTTGGGGTTGATGGCGAGCAGGGGGCAGGAGTCTGGTTCTTCAGTTGAGAGCCAGGGCTTGAGGACTGGGAAGGACCGGTGCCCTTAGGGCGGGGGATCCTACCGGAGGCGCCGTAGTGAAGGCCGGGAGGCCGGGGCACCGCGCTGGGACCCGTGGCGGGGCTCACCATACAGCCGCTGCACGGCCAGCACGTCGTCCCAGCTGAGCAGCGCGTCGCGGCCCAGCCTCTTGTAGTAGGGCGCCATGAGCGCGCGCGGCGCCGGCGAGTGCGTGAGGCCGAGCGTGTGGCCGATCTCGTGCGCCAGCACCACGAACAGGTTGCGCCCGCGGCGGCGGCGGCTCAGCGACCATCGCTCGTCCCGGTCGAAGTGCGCTTCGCCGCGGCGGGGCAGGAAGGCGTGCGCCAGAGCGCCCCCTGCAGGCGGCGAAGAGGGTCAGCGGGGAGCCCCGGCCCGCCACGCCCCCCAAGTCCTGTCATAGGCCGAGCCTCTTGCACCCGGGTGAGGGGCCGCTTGCTGCGGGACAGTTTCCCTCCTGGCTAAGTCTGGTGGAAGCGGGAGCGTGAGGAGGCGAGCAGATGATTTAGCGGCGGGCTGCGGCCTGGGTTTTATTACTTGCTAGCAGTGTGACTCGGGCAGCCAGCTTAGCTGTGTGTTAGCTTTCTGAACTGAGAATGGGTGTGGTGGTAATGAGCTTCTCTCTCCATGTGATCTGAAGAATGATGGCACCGTCCACGCGGTTGCTTGGTGTGTGTGGTGTGGGAGGGCTCATCAGTCTCTAAACCTAGAGTACAGTGCACTTGACCGTGTGGTTGGTAACAAGTCAGTGTACTCTTGTCGCCCCGCCCCAGAGCTTCCCTGTGGGCCCCCACTGCCCTGCTTGTACAGGCGTGAGTAGAGGGAGTTGGGCTGGACCCCCCGTGACCCTTGTGCATTTAGCATGCCCACATGGAGCTTACTAGAAGTGCAGTTTCCAGGCAGTACCCCTCACAATTCACTCTCCGCAGGGACAGGTGACCCTGACACAGGAGCAACAAACTGCCCTGTGATGATGCTGGCCTTTCTGGAGCCTAGGCCAGTGGGGACGGACAGAGGTCAGGAGCTGGCACTGAAAGGACAGTAGCCTTGGGAAGGTGTCTGGCCCAGGAGTTACGATGCCACTTGGGATGCCCGCATCTCACACCTGAGTGCCAGGGTTCAAGTCCCGGGTCAGCTTCCTGCTAATGTGCACCCCAGGAAGCAGCAGGTGATGGTTTGGGCACTTGGGTCCCTGCCACCTACAGGACTGAGTTTGTGGTCCCAGGCTTCCGCCTGGCCAGTCCCACCTGTAGCAGGCATTTTGGGATAGAACCTCAGAAGGAAGATATCTCTCTGCCTTTCAAGTAAGAACAAATACTTTTTTTTTTTTTTTTTAAAGGAAAAGCTCATGGGGGCATAGAGAGTGGGCCATGTGTGGGAGGAGTTGCTGTAATTCCCAGCATGCCTGGAGCTGTCCTGAGCACTGTTCACTCCGTTTAGCTCTCACTGGGAGACAGATGGGCAGGTTTAAGAGGGGAGCAGATCAAAGCTCAGAGACAACACATCTGTCCCAAACCAGGGAGCTGCTTAGGGAGTACCCTGCCCTGACGCCCATTGCAATGCTTAGTAACTGCTCTGACACAGATGTTAAGCCTGTCTTGTGGGGACCCTGGGTGAGGAGGGTGACATGTGTGTGCTCCAGGAGGATCCTTACAACCCAGTGTTCTCCCAGTCCTAAACTGCGGCCCAGCTCAGGGCCTGGAAGTGGGCTTGGTGGGAAGCAGGATAATGCAAGGGAGGTGGGGGCTCAGGTCCCAGGCCATACAAGGGCTTAAGTCCCTGTGAGTGATCCTGACTGCTGGCAGGTGGCAGTCTTCCAGCCAGGCACATGCAGGGGGATGGGAGGGCATGGCATACCATGCCCCCTGGGAAAAACCCTGGTTGAGGACTCAGCACACTGAAGCCCACACATGACCCCCTGCATAGGCTAGGTAGGCAGTCTTCCAGTCAGGGGCACAGGATCAGCCACAAGTCCTCAGCCTGCAGGGGTCTGATCAGGTTTCCTCTCTTCCTTAGGAGACCGGGGGGTGCACAAGTAGCTTCTAGTCAGGTCCTGAAGGTCAGTGTTGGGCAGAAGGGCAGTTAAATCACAGCCAGGAGCCTGCATATTAGGGACAAACAGAACTTCCCATGGCTGTGGGTACTTGAAGGTCTATGTAGCACTTCTGTGGCTGTCGGGAGTACAGTGCCTCCTGCCCTGTGGAGGTAGTGAGCAGGGCAGGAATGAGGGCTTAGTGGATGTCTCTTAAGGCTCAGGTCTGCAGAAATCCACTCCGGGAGAACAAGAGGAACATGGGCCTATCTGGGGCAGGGTATGGATGACGAGGTCTCAGAAGACTCTCCCAGAGTAAAGAATACTCTTTAGAGTTTGCTGAGCCCCTTTTATGCAGAACCTCATCTGACTACACCTGTAGACATGTGGCATTAACAGCGCAGAGGCCACTGTTCCCATGTGACCGGTGAGGAGATGGGGCTTCCCTGGAGAGGGCTGCGGCTTGGCCAAGGCTGCCCCAAGACTACCTCTCCTAGTTGTGTTCCCTTCTGCCATGTGTCAGCACCTGGGCCGTCGAAGGCATTGCCCAGCCCATCGTTGTGGTCCCCTTGGAAGAAGGTGAGGCGGATGTCCGCAGGGCCTGTGGCTGGGGCCTCCCAGAACTCCAGTGCCGAGACGTTGCTCCACAGCTGGAAGGCGGCACGCACAGCCCCTCGCACGGCAGACTCAGGCAGGTGCTCGGGCCAGTTCACCAGGCGGTAGGAGAGGTGCTGCTTGTACCATCTGTTGCCTGCCACCCAGAAAGCTGCTGTCAGTTGTCAGTTACACCTGCTGCAGAGCCTGCGCCTGGTCCCCAGGGAGCCAGTGTGATGGGGAGCCCGAGATCTGACAGCGGCCCCTGTCAACTGGGGAGACACTGTCCCCACTGCAGGGAGCCCTTGGACTTGGAGGATTGGCTTACCCTAGGGTGTCCCCAATCTAGTGGTTTGGCCTGGGGAGGCCCCCGTCTCAGGGAAGAGAGGCAACGCTTCCCCAGGAAACACCGGCACCCCGAGGGAGTCTGTGTGAACCCCCTGGGCTGGGGTCTCATTCTTCCCCACAGCCTAGGCTGAGCCTGCAAACGGCTCTGAGCCTCTTGCTGGCAGCAGATTCAAGTGCCTGCCCACAGTGTCAGGAAAGAGGGGAAGTGGGGCCTCAGAGCCCAGAGCTGGGACCCCCGCCCCCTCCTGCCACCTCCTGAAGGCCTCTCCGTGGCCTGTCCAGTCCCCCTGACCCCCCTACAGCTGGCCAGAAACCACAAGACCCATTTATGTGAGGTCCTGCCCTCCCCTTCCCTTCCTCAGGCACCCGGCGGAGCCCTGAGGTAGACAAACAAGAACAAAGGGTGTGTTTTGTCCCTGACCCAGAGACATTTTTCCATCTCTGCTTTGTTAGGAGTTTCTCTCCCTTTACCCCAAACAGCAGCTCCTCCCTGAGGGCTGAGGCTCTGGCCTTTTGGCCCAGGCCAGGGTCAGCTGAGTGTGGGCCCTATGCAGTTCTCCACACACCCAGGAGTGGGGGTGGGAGCTGGAAGGGCCAGCACCCATGTTTCTCGTTTCTGAGCCCTATAAACCCACGAGAGACCTCCAGCAGACACTGCTGCGCAGCGGGAGGCAGGCCTTTCGCCCAGAGTGGTGACTGCCATGCGGTGGGAGGGGCCTGCCCTCGGCCACAGAATGCACACGTCACAGAGCTGGACCCTGACCCTGACTGCGTGCCCCTTCCACTGTACCACGTGGGCACACAGGCACATTTGCTGAGACCATAAATCTGTCAGAACATCACTCCTTCGGGTCACAGCAGGGGCTCCACACAAGCTAGAATTCTCCAGATGGGGGGGGCATCTCGGGGAGCAGAGGAGCAGGGCTCCCTGGCCCTCCCACCCCTGCAGCAGGGGAGGGGTGGATCCAAGCTCCATTCAAGGCAATGCTGCCTCCCGGGGCCTGTTTGGTCTGGCAGCCACCCAACCTCCTCCCAGCCAGTGACCAACCCTGGGGCGGGGAAGGCAGACTGATTCTGAGGAAGGCGGTGGGAAGGCCTGCGGTCCAGAGGCACCAGCTGGGGTCCGCTTTGTACCGAGGACCCTTCTGCTGCTCACACCGTGCGTCTCCACTGCACACCGTGCGCTCACACCCTGCTGTGGGTGACGGACTCCCCCGCTCTCTTCCCCTCCAGATCCTGTAATTCTCTAGTAAAGTGTGAGGCAGCTCCTTCTGCCTGTTTTGCAGTGCGGGGTCCTCCCTTCATGGCAGGGAAGGGCAGAGTGAGCCAGTAAAGTGGCCAGTCTTAGGAGAGAAACTGTGTGTGTGTGTGTGTGTGTGTGTGTGTGTGTGTGTAGGGGACAAGAGAGGATGAATAGGAACCGGAACTGTTCTCCTTGGGTAGGGGGTCGCCTGCCTGCCTGCCAGGAAGGAAGGAACTAGCCAGGGGCCAACAGCCTGGGCATCCCACCCCCTCCCCCATGCCTTCCTCCAGCCTGGCCCACTGGAGAGGGCTGGCCACTTCAGGCTGCTCCAGAACTGCTATGGTAGGGCAGAGCTGCCAGGAGCACCTGGCACTGCAGTCCCCCACCCAACCCCCTTGCACCAAAGTCCAAGGGGGAAGAGGGAAGGAAAGGGAGCTGGGGAAGGGGTGGGGTGAGCATGAGGCTTTGGCTGGGAAGGACCCTAGAGTCCTGACCTCCAGCAGGCAACTGACGCTGGGCAAAGAACAGGGCGCCAGGATCCCAGTACCTCCACCTGCAAACTTACGTGAAAATTATGGAAACTGGGAGCTCCAGTTTCCTTCTTTGCAAGGTGGGGTTGATGAGGTTTGCCCCATAGTCAGGTGCAAGGCTCAAATGCAGTAGCAGAGTGAAGCTGCATGGTGCACGGTGAGTGTTCAGTGAATACCCATCCCCTTCTTCCTTTTCCACTGCAAATACACCCATGTGCCCCCACCCCGTCCAGCTCTGTGAGGGAGCAGCGGGGATAATCAGACCTGCTAGCACTGGGAGAAGCAGCTGCCTGGAATGAGGCTGCTAGATTTAGCAAATTAGAAAACCCAAGGCACAGAGGGTGTGTGTGGAGCAGCAGTTAGCATGCGGCGTGGGATGCCTGCACCTCCCATTGCAGGCTTCCTGCTAATGTGCACCCTGGAAGGCAAGGCTGATGCTCAGCGTGGGTCCCTGCCACTCACTCCTCTTCCATTGTGGATGGAGCTCCTGGCTCCCGGCTTCAGCCTAGCCCAGCCCTGGCTGTCACAGGCATTTGGGGAGTGAACCAGCAGATGGGAGATCTCTGTCTCTCTGCCTTTCCAATAAATAGATAGATACTTAAAAAAAAAAAAAAAAAACACCCAGTATCATGTGAATATTCATCTGAAATCCAAATAGAACTGGCTAGCCTGTATTTTATCTGGCAACTGATTTGCCGCTATCCTTTGTCCAAAACAGCGCTCCTAACTGGGTAGTGACCAATGGACTCCAAAAGTGTGTTCCCTAGGGCCTGAGAAGGTGAGATTAGCCAGAAAGCAGCAGCCTAGAGCTCAGGCCCCAAGTGCGCAGCCGACACTGTTCGTGGGGCTGCCCTCCTTGCCAGTGCATTCTCCAAGCCCTGGCTACCATGTGGGAACCAGGGACCTTTCCTCCTTTGCAACCTGAAAGGCCGTGTGTCTCGGATGAGGGGGCAGAGGGCCGTGGCCCGGGTCACGCTGCTGAGGCTTGAACCCAGGGCCTCTGGTTGTTCTCTCAGTTCATCTTATTTATTTGAAAGGCAGAGAGACAGAGACCTAGAGACATCTTCCACGCACTGTTTCATTCCCCAAATGTTAACAAGAGCAGGGGCCGGGCCAAGATGAAACCAGAAGCCCTGAACGCAGTCCATGTCTCCCACGTGGGTGGCAGGGACCCAAGTACGTGAGCCATCACTGGCTGCCTCCCAGAGTGAGCATCCAGGAAGCCGGAGCTGGAAGTGCAGCCGGGACTCAAAGCCAGGCACAGGTGTCTTACGTGGCATCTTCACTGCTGCACCCAGCTCCCACCCCACTCCCAGTTCTGCAGGCTCCTCCTGAGTTTGCGCCCTCCCTGTCTCCGACTTCACTCTTGCTCTCTGTGGCCAGAAACAGTGGGAGGCAGAAGAAGCTGACCCCACTCTGGGGCCCCACCACAGAGTCTGCTTTACCAGGCACGTGATCTGGGCCCCAGCGTGGCTCATGTGTAGACGCAGCGGAACTAGATTGGCAGATGCCTGCACACAGCTCCCTTCCAACAGCAGAAAGAAACTGCCTTCCACTCCTTAGGGAAGAGCTGAGAAAGGAAGCACCCTGTGTGCCTTCTGTCCTGTCCACAGTGAATGTTATCAGTGAACGTAGTCGACGCAAATTATACGTGGCAATGGCCTAAGTGCTCACAGTAAAATTAGTCATAGGTGAAAGCCTGACCAAAAAACCTCATCTTGTTAGAAATCTCAAACATGGCAAAAACCAATCAGAGAAAATTACACCTAACGAAAGCAACGGAGATGCTAGAATTTCAGTAAAACTGTTATTTCTGGAAAATGGGCAGAAAAATCAGATTTTGAAACATCTTAGATCTGTACATTTAATCCTGGAATATGGGATTTGGCAAAAGCAGGTAAGAGAGGAAACAACAGAGGTATGAAAGGCAAAACCGTGACAGCAGAAGCTGTAGTGCACCAGGTGCGCTGTGATGAAGTGCCCAGAATGGGCAGAGCCACAGAGACACGAAGATTGGTGGCTGCCAGTGGGGTGGCAAGGGGAGCGTGGGGGGACTATGAATGGGCATGGGGTTTCTTTTCAGGGTAATGAAATGGTCTGGAATTAGATTGTGGTAATGGCTGCACAATTCCACAAATATGCTTAAAACCACTGTAAATGGGTAAATTGCACAGTAGGAGAATTCTATCCCACTGAAACTGTTAACCGACGTGCTGCAGATGAGATCAAGCCAATGGACAGATCACATCGCTATAGAGTAACTGTCAGGAATTAGAATTGAATCTGATGGGCGCTGTGGCGTAGCAGGTAAAGCTGCCGCCTGCAGTGCCGGCATCCCATATGGGTGCCTCGAGTCCCGGCTACTCTGCTTCTGATCCAGCTCTCTGCTATGGCCTGGGAAAGCAGTAGAAGATGGCCCAAGTTCTTGGGCCCCTGCACCGGCGTGTGAGACCCAGAAGAAGTTCCTGGCTCCTGGCTTCGGATAGGCCAAGCTATGGCCGTTGTGGCCATCTGGTGAGTGAACAAGCAGATAGAAGACCTCTCTCTCTGCTTATGCCTCTCTGTAACTCTGCTTTCAAATGAATAAATCTTTTTTTTTTTAAAGAATTGATTCTGGTGACAATAACCTCAGCAAAATGTACATGAAAAATGTTGGCGACAGTTTAACTTCACTGCATAGAAAATGGATCAAGGAAATCAGTGGGCTTGATGGGGTTCATTCTAGAACATACTTGTACAGTGAAAATTCATCAATGCAGGTATATTTCTGAGTAGAAGTCTGCATTCACAATTCTGGTCCTCGAGTCAAGAGCTTGTTTCCCACCCTTCCCCTTCCTAGGGAAGGGAGGTCAGGGACTGTGTCCGGTCCCAGACGGAGCCATTTTTGTGGCCATAGGATTTTCACGGTGCTCACCTTGCCTTGCAAAGCGTTTCTTACGGCTCATTTTGGCTCCACGTCCAGAAAACAGGGTACTGATCCTCTCGGTCCAGGCTGCGTGACTGTCAGTGTCTGCGACCCCACAGCGGGGGCGTGTCATCTGGCGCAGGGTGGCATGGTCCAGCATGCCACTGACCGGCAGCTGGGACACCCACTGGAACTCTCTGTCAGGAGGAATTGAGATAAAGGACCACAAAGGGAGGATGGGTGTAGGGATGGAGGCAGGGAGGCGTGGTGCCTTCCTGGGCAATGCTGCCAGCCTTCTTGGAGGGAGGGGATGGTTGGTGCTTTGCACTCCAGCACCCCCAAGCCCTCCACAGCCCTCTGCCCTACCTGATGGCATTGCTGAGTCGAGTAGAGCTGGGAGCTTTGGGGACTTGTGCGTCAAGGTATCCGTACTTCTCCAGGAACGCCTAAGGGAGACAGGGACCACAGCATTCTTCTCCCTCCCTGTGGCTCCGAGGGTCCCAGGCACATGCATCCTGCCCGACCCCACCTCTTGTCCCAACAGAGTGTGTAAACCAAGGCAGCATCCCGGATTAACGTGAGACCTGGACTCCGGTCTGACCAGCTGGAGGATCTCAGGCGAGTGACTGAGCTTTTCCGGCTGCTGACTTCCCCCTCCCCTCATGGTACTGCTGGAACTCCAGCAGGGTAACGCCGGACAACAGAGGTACAGAATCGGGAGTTAGGCTGGCGTGGTTTGAAATCCAGCTGGCAAGTCACTGCTCTGCCTGCCGTAATGGCCTTGGTGTTAGGACTTCCAGCACAGGACTTTTGAAGCCCAATCACAATCGTGTTTGTAAAGCACTTAATGTGATGCCTGTCTAGGGGAGGGACTCCACACCAAGCTCTTCTGGTAGAGACACAATTCCTATATAGCCAGTGTGCTCCTGAAACATCTCACTTCTCTAGAAATCCTTCCAGGATTGAGCGGGAGCTGATCAGGTGTTGGCTGCGCCACACTCGAACCCATGTTCTGGCTTCTTCCTAAACAATTCTGTGTCCTCAAAATGCAAGTATGTTTAAGGCTCTACAAGTAACCAATGTACTTATCCTCAACTGTACAAATGATATGAAAACTTGACTTTTTAGAGATGTATTGCTTAAGAGCAAGCAAGAGAGAGAGCAAGCGAGTGCTTCCATTTGCTGGTTCATTTCCAAAACGCCCAGGAGCTGGGAACCCAACGCAGGCCTCCCACAGGGGTGGCAGGGACACAGCTATTGAAGCCATCACTCTGCCTCCTAGGGTCATGTTAACAAGAAACTGGATTGGAAGGGAAGCTGGGACTCAACCCAGACACAGGTATGGGAGACAGGAATCCCAAGTGGCATCTTAATTAATGTACCACATGCCTGCGCCCAGAGGTGCAGTCTTTAAATTAGAAACTTACAACTTTCCTTTTTCATAATTTATTTATTCATGCAATGTACTACATAGTCTGCTAGGTGCACTGGTAAATAAGACATCCCTAAAGGAGCTTTCATCCCTACGGATAGAGAGACACGGGGAACAAGTGCGTGAAGCAGATAAATGGGTGTTGTGAGGAAATGAATGTGACGTGATGGATAAGCTGGGGAGAAACTTTACCGGAGAGTCAGCGAGGACCCCCCGGGGAACTGCCCTATCTTTTTTTTTGAAGACATTTATTTATTTGAAAGGCAGAATTACACACAGAGAGAAGGAGAGGCAGAGAGAGAGAGAGAGAGAGAGTGAGAGATTGATCTTTGATCCGCTGGTTCACTACTCAAATGGCCACAATGGCCTGAGGGACACCAATCTAAAGCTAGGAGCCAGAAGCCTCCTCTGGGTCTCCCACAGAGGTGCAGGAGCCCAAAGACTTGGGCCATCTTCTACTGCTTCCCCAGGCCACTGCAGAGAGCTGGATCAGAAGTGGAGCAGCTGGGACTTGAACCAGCACCCATATGGGATGCCTGCGCTGCAGGCAGTGGCTTCACCTGCTATGCCACAGTGCCTAGAGCTGACATTTGACCTGAGATGCAGCCAGACATGTGACGAGCTGGGGGAAGGGGATCAGAAAATGCAAAAGCCCTGAGCTTCAGTGTAAAGCACAGAGGACAACTGCGCCCAGTGTGAAGAAGCAAAGCTTGAGATGGAGTCGGAGAGAGAGGTAGGGCTGCCAGCCAGCACAAGAAGTAGAGATTTATTTTAGTTTTGCTGTTGGATTAACTCTGAGGAATGGAAGAAAGAGAGGAATCCAGGATGGCTCCTAAGGCTTTGGCTTGGAAAGTGGCACCGTTTACTGTCTGAGGAAGCCTGAGGTGGAACAAGATGGGGGGGTGGGGATAAGATTAATGCGGTGATGTCTAAGTGGCGCTGGCTGCATGAGCCTGGGGCTCAAGGAAGCAGCTGGAATCTTGGAGCCTTGGCGCCTCTGGGCCACAACACCGGCCTCTTGATCCACGGTCATGGTCTGGACGAGGTGCGGGGGAAATGAGGATAATTCAGGACCCTCCCACGGTGCAGAGGCCTTTGACCCCTGCCTGCCTCACATCCCTGGATGGCTGCTTTCCCAGGGAACAAGTTCTTTTTCTTTTTTTTAAGATTTATTTTATGTATTTGAAAGGCAGAGTTAGAAACTCAGAGAGACAGAGAGAGAGAGAGAGAGACCTTCCATCCTCTGGTTCACTCTTCAAATGGCTGCAAGAGCCAGGGCTGGGCCAGGTCAAAGCCAGGAACCTGGAACACCATCCAGGTCTCCCATGTGGGTGTAAGGGACCCAAGCACTTGGGCCATCTTCAGCTGCTTTCCCAGGCGCATTAGCAGAGCTGGACTGGAAGTATAGCAGCTGGGCCTCAACCAGCATTCATGTGGGATACTGGCATTGCAGGCAGCTTGACCCTCTGTGCCACAACACCGGCCTCTCCAGTGACTAAGTCCTTTGAGGCCACTGGAGAGAGAGCCTCACTCCCCACAAGTCCTGCCCTTTGGAGAGATGATGCACTTGGCTCCCTGCTTGTCACACCAGTGGTAAAGCATCATGAGTGTCACCTTAGATTTTAAAAAGTCACCTCAGCTACTTCATTCATTTTTCTCTATTTTTTTTTTAATTTTTCATTCTATTTGAAAGATGAGAGACAGAGAAATCTCTCAGCCACTGCTTCATTCCCCAAATGCCTCCAACAGCCAGGGCTGGCCCAGGTCAAAGCGAGCAACCTTGAACTCCACCTGGAGCTCTCATATTAGGTGGCAGGAACCCAGATAATCGAGCCATCCCCTACTGCCTCCCAGGATGCAACCTAACAGGAAGCTGGATTGGAAGCAGAGGAGCTGAGACTCTAGGCACTCTATTATGGAATGCAGGTGTCCCAAGTGGGGCTGAACCCCTGTGCTAATGCCTGCCCCTGCTTAATTGTCACACAGAGTCTCCTAATGTTTACTCCTCCCTGTCATATTGCCTATGCAGAAATAATTTTCTGTCATGCATATTCTCTCTTACCTCTGCATTTCTTTGCTGTATTTCTTAACTCAAAATAATTTCAATTGTAGCTGCTGCCTCAAGAAAAAGACACAAGTTCAGACTGAAACCAGACACTCAGAGCCAGGATCAACCAGCCCCTCGGTCTTCACGGATTTCATTTACATCTGTCTTCAGCGACCTCCACTTGTCACTTGTCAGTAAATCCCCTCCATCAGGAACCCTCATTCTAGACAACAGAACCCTCTCGAGTCCATTTATTGTTTTTCCTGCATTAACTTTTTGTAAATCAGCACTATTGTTTTCTTTTTTTTCCTCCTTTAAACATATATATTCTTTTGGGAGTGGACATTTGGCAACAGTGGCTAAGCCACAGCAGAGTGCCTGGCTTCCAGTCCTGGCCCTACTTCCAATTCCAGCTTCCTGCTGCTGCGCACTCTGGGAGGCGGCAGAAGACGACTCAAGGACTTGGGTCCCTGCCACTCATGTTGGGGGCCTGGATTGAGTTCTTGGCTCCTGACTTTGGCCTGGTCCAGCTTGGCTGTTGCAGACAGTTGAGGAGTAAACCAACAGACAGAAGACCTATCTGTCTGCCTTTCAAATGAAATGTAAATGAAAAAATAAGAATGTATTATTAAAAAGTATGCTTTATTTGGTGGGCAGGCGCTGTGGTGTAGTGGGCTATGCTCCCTCCTGCAGTGCCGGCTGCTCCACTTCCAATCCAGCTCTCTGCTATGGCCTGGGAAAGCAGTAGAAGATGGCCCAAGTCTTTGGGCCCCTGCACCTGCATGGGAGACCAGACCTGGCTCCTGGCTTTGGATCAGCTCAGCTCTGGGCATTGCAGCCATTTGAGGAGTGGACCAGTGGATGGAAGACCTCTCTCTCTCTGCTTATGCCTCTCTGTAACTCTGCCTTTCAAATAAATAAATAAATATATTTTTAAAAAGTATACTTTTTGAAGTATCTGATTTATAATCAAAGGGATTTAGTGGCCTAATCAGAGAAATTTTTTTCTTTTACAGATTTTTTTATTTGTATAATGAAAAAAATTAATTAATTTTATTTGAAAGACAGAGGTCTTCCATCCAATGGTTCACTTCCCAAATGCCCACAATCACCAGGGCTGGGCCAAGCCAAAGCCAGGAGCCTGGAACTCCACTCAAGTCTTCTACATGGGTGGCAGGGCCCAAGTGTTTGGGACATCACGTGCTGTGTCCTAGGGTAGGCATTAGCAGGAAGGCAGATCCAGACCTCAAACCCAGGAACGCTGATAGGGGATGCAGGTGTCGCAAGCAGAGTCTTTTTTTTTTTTTTTTTACAGGCAGAGTGGATAGTGAGAGAGAGAGAGACAGAGAGAAAGGTCTTCCTTTTGCCGTTGGTTCACCCTCCAATGGCTGCCGCGGCCGGCGCACCGCGCTGATCCGATGGCAGGAGCCAGGAGCCAGGTGCTTCTCCTGGTCTCCCATGGGGTGCAGGGCCCAAGCACCTGGGCCATCCTCCACTGCCTTCCCAGGCCACAGCAGAGAGCTGGCCTGGAAGAGGGGCAACCGGGAAAGAATCCGGCGCCCCGACCGGGACTAGAGCCACCGGGACTAGAACCCGGTGTGCTGGCGCCGCTAGGTGGAGGATTAGCCTATTGAGCCGCGGCACCAGCAAGCAGAGTCTTAACTGCTTTCCCACCCCAGGAAAGTGACTAGCGTTCAGATTAGAGTGACACCATGGATACCAGGTCTGAGCCTGAGACTGTTCCCAGCCTGACTATGCTGGTGACTGGGGACAAATTATTTAAACTCTGCGAGTATAAAGTAACAGTGCCTGGCACAAAGTAAATGCCCAATAAACAGTTAATCTAGTTGAGGTTCCTCAGAAGGAAAACTAAGGACAGACACCGGACCGCAACCCATGTGCAAGGTGGGAACTGCTTTAACAAGGCAGTGGCACCTCTGTGATCTCAGGCTTGCCCCACCTCAGCC